GGGATGTTAGGCTCAAGTTAGAGTATGTAGGAAAGAGGGGGAAAATTTTTTCCCAGTAAAAGGGAGCCTTAGACAAGGATGTGTGATGTCACCGTGGTTTGTTTAATATATTTATAGTTTGGGGGTTTTAAGAGAAGTAAAAGCGAGGGGTCTTGGCAAGAGGCGTGGAGTTAAAAGATAAAAAAAAATCACCACAGGGGGGGAGTTTTCACAGCGCTCTTTTTCTGAGACATGTGCTTTTGGGGAGATTCTGAAGAAACTGCAGAGATTGGGGGATAAATTTTGGAGGGTGTCAAAAGAAGAAAATTTAAAAGTGAATACAGAAAGAGTAAGGTTTATGAGGATAACAAAAGATTGGGTGATAAAGATTGAATATCGTTTGGAGGGAGAGAGTATGGGGGAGGTGAACGATTCAGATATTTGGGAGTGGCGTGTCGGGGATGGGTCTAAAAAGAGAGGTGAACATAAAATTTGAGGGGGAAAAAAGAGTGATGGGCACTTGGGATCTGTGGAACATAGAACTTTGCCCTTTGGGAGGCAAAGGGGGGAATGTATGAGATTATAGTTTTACCAACGCCCCTTAATGGGGTGAAGCAGGGTATAAATGTTGCAGCGAGGAAAGGCTGGAGGCGGGAGATTCATTCTGAGGGCAATGTGGGTTGTAATATAAGCGAGAATTCGTATTTTGGAATTAGGAGGAGGTCGGGATTACCAAAACTTTGCCAGGGGCTGAGGAAGGGTTTTTGGGTGGTTGGGACATGTAGAGAGAAGGAGCGAAACAGAATAACTTCAAGAGGGGATCAGTCTGTATAAGGGAAGGCGGTAGGGGTCGGCCTAAAGGGGTTGGAGGGGGGGGGTAAAGGAGGTTTTGTGTGCGGGGGCCCTTTGGGAATTCCACAGGGATGCTGAGCGTGTTTTGATAGGAGTGAAAGGGAAAATTGGTTTTAATACTTGACTGCTGTTGGAGTGTGAGCAAAGTAACATTTTGAAGGGGTTCAGGGAAACCGGCAGGCCCGGGCTTGATCCTGGAGATGGGGAAATACATGCCTCACTCTGAAAGGGGGGGTGTTAAGTTGCAGTTTAAAAACGATGTAAAGCACCCTTCGGCAAGCAGGATGGGTGAATGTGGGGAAATTTTTTTTTTTTTCGGCCACCCTGCCCTTGGGGGGAATCGAACCCGTGTGAAAAAAAAAAAAAAAAAAAAAAAAAAATCTGTTTTAGTATACATGGTAAAAATGTATGGTAAAGTTTTTATTGAAAAATTAAGAGTAAGACGGAGAATAAGAACAGTAACAAGGGGGCTTTTGGAAAATAGGGGTGTGGACCAGGGGTTTACAGTGAAACATAAAGTGAACAGAATTAGATAAGGCTAAAGAGGTTTTTTTGGCATTTTGGGTTTGGAAAAGGCGTATGACAGGGTGGTAGGGGGCAATGGGCAGATGTTGCAGGGGATGGTGTAGAATAGGTTTTCTGAAAGCAGGAAGAGTTTTTACGAATATGAGGCTCAAGTTAGAGATGTAGGAAAGAGGGAATTATTTCCCAATAAAAGTATGCCCTTTGACAAGGATGTGTGATGTCACTTTTGGTTGTTTAATATTTATAATGGGGTAAAAGAAGTAAATGCGAGGGGCTTTACAAGAGGCTGGAGTTAAAAGATAAAGAGTACACATAAATGGGAGTTGTCACATTTCTCTTTGCTGATGACACTGTCCTTGGAGATTCTGAAGAGAAGTTGCAGAGGTTGGTGGATGAATTTGGTAGGGTATGCAAAAGAAGAAAATTAAAAGTGAATACAGGAAAGAGTAAGGTTATGAGGATAACAAAAAGATTAGGTTATGAAAGACTGGATATGAGATTGGAGGGAGAGAGTATGGAGGAGGTGAATGTATTCAGATATTTGGGAGTGGAGGTGTCAGCGGATGGGTCTATGAAAGATGAGGTGAATCATAGAATTGATGAGGGGAAAAGGGTGAGCAGCGCACTTAGGAGTCTGTGGAGACAAAGAACTTTGTCCTTGGAGGCAAAGAGGGGAATGTATAAGAGTATAGTTTTACCAACGCTCTTATATGGGTGTGAAGCATGGGTGATGAATGCTGCAGCGAGGAGAAGGCTGGAGGCAGTGGAGATGTCATGTCTGAGGGCAATGTGTGGTGTGAATATAATGCAGAGAATTCGTAGTTTGAAAGTTAGGAGGAGGTGTGGGATTACCAAAACTGTTGTCCAGAGGGCTGAGGAAGGGTTGTTGAGGTGGTTCGGACATGTAGAGGTAATGGAGCTAAACAGAATGACTTCAAGAGTGTATCAGTCTGTAGTGGAAGGAAGGCAGGGTAGGGGTCGGCCTAGGAAAGGTTGGAGGGAGGGGGTAAAGGAGGTTTTGTGTGTGAGGGGCTTGGACTTCCAGTGGGCATGCGTGAGCGTGTTTGATAGGAGTAAATGGAGACAAATGGTTTTTAATACTTGACATGCTGTTGGAGTGTGAGCAAAGTAACATTTATGAAGGTATTCAGGGAAACCGGCAGGCCGAACTTGAGTCCTGGAGATGGGAAGTACAGTGCCTGCACCCTGAAGGAGGGGTGTTAATGTTGCAGTTTAAAAACTGTAGTGTAAAGCACCCTTCTGGCAAGACAGTGATGGAGTGAATGATGGTGAAAGTTTTTCTTTTTTGGGCCACCCTGCCTTGGTGGGAATCGGCCAGTGTGATAACCCTTAAATGGTCCAAACGTATATATACGTTTTTTCAACATCTGAAAGCATGTAAAAAAATGTAATCTTTTTTTTTTTTTTTTACATGTGAAAACGTGTAAAAAAACTTTTATCTACATTTTTTGTTATATCTGAAAATATGTAAAAAGAAGTAGATCTACTTTTGTAGCACTACGAATCTGAACATCGATCTGTTTGGACCGTTTAAGGGTTAATATATAAAATAAAAAAAAATAATAGAGAATACGTTTACATAGTCTTTCATTATACTGGAGGTAGTCAGGTCTCAATTAGTGAGAGTAAAGACTCACAAAATCATAATGATATGAATGCAAGCAAACTAGTGAATGGATGGAGTGTGAACTCACGGAAAGTAAGTGGTAAAACACCAGTCTAGTGACTGACACACTGGCTTGCAGTTTTGAAATTTTAGCAAGGGATTTGAAGAGTTTGGGGCAGAGGGAACTAATATTAACCAATTTCGGAGTAAATAAAAATTCACACTGTCTGAACAAGCACTAATGGACCCTTGACAGTATTTATATGTTGAGAATTTTGTTAAGTACCCAAGACTATTATTACTTCCACTCATGTGACTGTATTACTACCAACCAGCCAGTGTGAACCAGTCACTACCAACCAGTCACTGTGAACCAGTCACTACCAACCAGTCACTGTGAACCAGTCACTACCAACCAGCCAGTGTGAACCAGTCACTACCAACCAGTCACTGTGAACCAGTCACTACCAACCAGCCAGTGTGAACCAGTCACTACCAACCAGTCACTGTGAACCAGTCGCTACCAACCAGCCAGTGTGAACCAGTCACTACCAACCAGCCAGTGTGAACCAGTCACTACCAACCAGCCAGTGTGAACCAGTCATTACCAACCAGCCAGTGTGAACCAGTCATTACCAACCAGTCACTGTGAACCAGTCATTACCAACCAGCCAGTGTGAACCAGTCATTACCAACCAGTCACTATGAACCAGTCACTACCAACCAGCCAGTGTGAACCAGTCATTACCAACCAGCCAGTGTGAAGCAGTCACTACTAACCAGCCAGTGTGAACCAGTCACTACCAACCAGCCAGTGTGAACCAGTCACTACCAATCAGCCAGTGTGAATCAGTCATTACCAAACAGCCAGTGTGAACCAGTCACTACCAACCAGCCAGTGTGAACCAGTCACTACCAACCAGCCAGTGTGAACCAGTCATTACCAACCAGCCAGTGTGAACCAGTCATTACCAACCAGTCACTGTGAACCAGTCACTACCAACCAGCCAGTGTGAACCAGTCATTATCAACCAGCCAGTGTGAACCAGTCACTACCAACCAGCCAGTGTGAACCAGTCACTACCAACCAGCCAGTGTGAATCAGTCACTACCAACCAGCCAGTGTGAACCAGTCACTATCAACCAGCCAGTGTGAGCCAGTCATTACCAACCAGCCAGTGTGAAACAGTCACTATCAACCAGCCAGTGTGAACCAGTCACTACCAACCAGCCAGTGTGAACAAGTCATTACCAACCAGCCAGTGTGAACCAGTCACTACCAACCAGCCAGTGTGAACCAGTCATTACCAACCAGCCAGTGTGAATCAGTCACTACCAACCAGCCAGTGTGAACCAGTCATTACCAACCAGCCAGTGTGAATCAGTCACTACCAACCACCCAGTGTGAATCAGTCATTACCAACCAGCCAGTGTGAACCAGTCACTACCAACCAGCCAGTGTGAACCAGTCACTACCAACCAGCCAGTGTGAACCAGTCATTACCAACCAGCCAGTGTGAACCAGTCACTACCAACCAGCCAGTGTGAACCAGTCACTACCAACCAGCCAGTGTTAACCAGTCATTACCAACCAGCCAGTGTGAACCAGTCACTACAAACCAGCCAGTGTGAACCAGTCACTGTGAACCAGTCACTACACACCAGGCACTGTGTAAGCCAGTCACTACCTATAAGACACTGTGAACCAGTCACTACCAACCAGCCAGTGTGAACCAGACACTACCAACCAGCCAGTGTGAACCAGTCACTACACACCAGACACTACGTAAGCTAGTCACTACCAATAAGACACTGTGAACCAGTCACTACCAACCAGACTGTGAATCAGTCACTACCAATAAGACACTGTGAATCAGTCACTACCAATAAGACACTGTGAATCAGTCACTACACACCAAACACTGTGAACCAGTCACTACACACCAGACACTGTGAACCAGTCACTGTACACCAGACATTGTGAACCAGTCAGTTCTGACTAGTTCAGATCACTCACCTGAAGAACTGCTCCATAAATGCCCAGAGTGATGGTGAAAATCAGGATAAGGAAGGGATAGAGGAGGATAAGCAGTGGTGGCAGAGTTATCCGGGGTAGACATCGAGCCTCCGTCACTCTGGTTAACAAACTGTAATGATAGCAACAACAATATATAGTTAATATATAGTTAACAGAATTCTTCCTCTGTAAGCCATGCGTGTTGTAAGAGGCGACTAAAATGCCGGGGGCTAAGGGCTAGTAACCCTTTCTCTTGTATAAATTACTAAATTTAAAAAGAGAAACTTTCGTTTTTCTTTTTGGGGCACCCTGCCTTGGTGGGATACGGCTGGTTTGTTAAAAAAGAAAAAAAAAATAATAATAATAATAATATTATTATTTTTATTTTATTATCACACTGGCCGATTCCCACCAAGGCAGGGGGCCCAAAAAAGAGAAACTTTCAACCATCATTCACTCCATCACTGTCTTGCCAGAAGGGTGCTTTACACTACAGTTTTTAAACTGCAACATTAACACCCCTCCTTCAGAGTGCAGACACAGTACTTCCCATCTCCAGGACTCAAGTCCGGCCTGCCGGTTCCCAGAATCCCTTCATAAATGTTACTTTGCTCACACTCCAACAGCACATCAAGTATTAAAAACCATTTGTCTCCATTCACTCCTATCAAACACGCTCATGCATGCCTGCTGGAAGTCCAAGCCCCTCGCACACAAAACCTCCTTTACCCCTCCCTCCAACCTTTCCTGGGCCGACCCCCTACCCCCGCCTTCCTTCCACTACAGACTGATACACTCTTTTTTAAGGGCCCC